CAGTGTAGCTGCTTATAATTGTGTGTTTGGAAGTCGTTGGGACTCAGTGAGTCTGTGTGTGGATGGTGACTAATGACTTGGTCTAGGAAGCATAAGGTTCGTGGAAGGTTGGGTTTAGTAATGCGTGCTGCTGTTTTTTTAATGGCATTTTGTTATTTATTTATTTATTTATTTATTTATTTATTTTTCTTGGGCATGTACATGCTGTGGTGCATGTGTGGAGATCAGAGAACAACTTGTGGGGCTTGCTTTCCTCCTTTCACCATGTGGGTTCCAGGGATTCAACTTAGGTCATCAAGTCTGACTTGGCAGCAGGCGTCCACTAAGCCATCTCTCTGGACCCCGTGCCACTGCCTTAGTCCACATACCTGCTAGGTTTTTCAGTCATGAAACTCTGCTGAGGGAAGGATTCTGAGATTCATTTTATTTTATTTTTTACTGTTTTACAAATGGTAGTATGTCAGGAAGAAGAATATGCCTTATTTTACTTTATTGTGAGAGATTAGAGTGCTCCAGATACATGGTAAGCTTCTAGTGTTTGTTGTGTGAATGTATAAAATCTGCCTCAGAAAAATGAGCCCTTTAACTCATAACTTCAGGTGATCTTTGAATCTTTCAAGAAGAAAGAAGATGATCTTGTTCTCATCTCCACTGGGAATATGATACTTGTCCTAATAACCTTTCTAATGAATTTTTAAAGCCTATATTAGCATAAACTCTGATTTCCGCTTAATCCCTTTTACATCACTTTAAAGTACTTATTAAAACTACTCTGTACTCCTGCTCACTTTCTGTTTTCATTCTAGACTTTATAACTTAAATGGCCGCGGCAAGCTCTTGCTGCCTCTCGACATCCTCTGGCTCCAGTGCTGATCTTTATGTTAGTGTTTTCAGGGATGGTGTCTGGGATGGGTTGATCAGCTGCCTGTTTTGTAAGTCATGGTGTGGAGGAAAGCTGGCTTGTCCAGAGCTGTGCTTCATGCTCCTGTCATTTGCCCAGTCCTGCTTCCTCTTGAGGTGTCTGTTTCTACCTCCTTTTTCAGCAAGGCACCAGCATCCAAACCAGATTCAAAACAATAAACACAACCAACCAAAACCAAAAACAACAGCAACAAACCCCAAACCCATGCAGATTTAATTTCTTCAAAGATTTAGACAAACTATTCAGCTAGTTTGAATGTTCTACTTGGGTGCTCGATTCTTGCTCATTTATCTTATTTATATCTGTAAAATCTTATGTGGTTGTATATACATCAGGCACATTCCAGTGGGACATTTTCTAGTAGATAATGATTATGTGTGTCATCATGGGATAGTTTCATATGGTGGACACCTTGTGTGAGTGAGCTTGCCATAGCATATGCACTCTGAACACACATACATGTGTTTTCTTTGGTGACTGCTGAAAGGGCTCCTGCTGCTGCCCACAGCAAACATAACCTGACTATTTTTGATGGTAGTACTTGTAGAAGAAGCTCAGTATTGAACAGGAGAGAGTGCATGTTGGTTTAGACTTTTAATTTTTTTGTCTGTGTATTTGTGATCTATGTTGGTGTGTTGTAGGTGTGCTCACCCATGTGTGCATGTGTGGAGGTCAGCTTCTCTTAAATCTGGAGCATCTCATCTCATTTTGGTGAGACTTACTGGCTAGGGCCCACCCCCTCTGTGGGGGTTGAGTTCCAGGCGTGCCTGGCTTTTCTGTGTGTTTGGGATTTGGACTTGGATTCTCATGCTGTGAACAAACACTTACCAAGTGAACTGCCTCCCTAGTCCCATTAGTTTTTAATCTGCACCTTGACTGCATGTTTTAAACATAAACAAGACTGACACTGTCTCTTGGGAAGCACACGGATTGGCCAGAGTTGTTATACATGATTGCTGGGAGTGCAAAGCAGCTCAGACACTTGGGAAATCAGTCAAGTGATTTCTTACAAAGTTAAACATTGATTTGTTCTGTGAACAAGTGAAAAAGTTGATAGAATGATGTAATGAATCTCTGTGTGCCTTTACTCTCTTTTAAATAATTATTAGTGGTTTGTTTTATATGCCTCACGTGGAAATGTTTGAAGTACATCCTAGACATTTCTTTCTTCATTTGTAAATACTTGGGTGTGAGACTTTCCTCATGTGACAGGAGGCATTCATTTGTTTGTTTGCTTATTTGAGACAGGGTCTCTCACTCTGTAGCTCTAGCTGTCCTGGAATTCACTATGTAGGCCAGGTGGCCTGAACTCACAGAAATCTTGGGTGATATGTTGCTTATGATTTAATAAAGCTTGCCTGGAGATCAGAATACAAAGCTAGCCATAGTCATAGAAGCCAGAAAGATGCACACCTTTAATCCCAGGAGCCATACTAGTTAGCCTAGGTGGTGGTACATGCCTTTACTGCTAGCACTAGAGAGGTATCTAAGACAGGAGCAGGATGTCAGACCTGGCAGTTAGTCTCCAGCCATGTTTAGCATAAGATTGCCTCAGTCTTGGTAGAGGTAAGAGTTCTCTGTTGACTTGGCTGCTTTGCTTTTCTGATCTTCACCTTGAACCCCAATACCTGTCTCTCTCTCTCTTTATTTTTAATTATTTGTGCTACAGAGATCTGCCTGCCTCTGCCTTTCAAGCACTGGGATTAAAGGTGTGCATCACTATGCCAGGCCAACATTCATTTATTTTAGCATTGTGTTAGAGACTGGAAATGTTGTAGGCCCTTTGGATATATGGATGGATAAAATAAACCATGGTTTATATTTGAGCGTGGAGAAACAGGAAATAGTCACACACACACACACACACACACACACACACCCACACACACACACCCATAACAGGAATAGGAAAGGCATTGGTTTCACTAAAGTTTAAAGCTTTTTATACAAAACATCATTAATAAAAAGGAAAAAGGAAAAAGTATTATAAAACATATCTGACAGAGGATTTCAAATTCAGAATCCATGTCAATAAGGAAAAGAAAGAACCAAGTTAAGAAATGAGGAAAAGGCTAACAATGCACACACGCTGTCACTGTCACCGGGGAAATACAGATTAAAATCATATACATCCACTAGCATGACTCTTGGTGGGGTCTCACACATGGCAGGTAGCAGTTTAGAATAGTACATTTACTTTGAAAATCAGTCAAGCAGTTTCTCACAAAGTTAGATTTGCCCTAGGTATTTACTTAAAAGAAATGAAAAACATTATTTGTGAAAAGACATGTACAAGAATACTCACAGCATTTTTACCATAATAGTAACAAAAAGAAATCGCTCAGATGTCTATCAGCAGAGTTCTGTTATTTCCATGTAGTTTATCACACTCAACAATGCAGTGGGACATTGTATTGACATGTGCAACCAAAAACACCTTGCTGAGCAAAATGCAGCCAGACACCCCTTCCCCACAATTCTTGGTATATGAGTCCATTTATAGGAACTTGTAGAGCAGACTACTGTGGAAGGATTCTAAATTGTGGTTGAGGGTGTGGGGTGGGTGGTGAGGAGCGGGGGTGTATACTTCTGGGAATGGACTACAAAGGGCCATGCAGGGGATGTCTTCAGAGAACATATGGGAACAGAGCTCTGTGTCTCATATACATTTCTTTTGACAGTCTAGTGCCTTAATTTATATGCCAGGTGAAACTCTACCACTGAGCTGTATACCCAACTCCAGAGCTTTGTCTTCTCTCATTCCCTGATTTTTTTTTCTTTTCTTTTTCAAAACAGGGTTTCTCTGTAGCTTTGGAGGCTGCCCTGGAATTCACTCTGTAGACCAGGCTGGCCTTGAACTCACGGAGATCCTCCTGCCTTTTCCTTTCTAGTGCTGGGATTAAAGGCGTGTGCCACCACCACCTGGCCATCCCCTGATTTTTAACAGTGTTTGTGTGTGTGCACATGTGTCACAGCTTCTAGAAGTCAGAGGGACAGCTTTGCAGGGTGTTTCCTACCATATGGTTTCCTAGGCACTCAGGCTTGGGGCCAAGTGCTTTTAATTGCTGAACCCTGGAGCTTGCATGTTGATAATGATATCAGGAGGCATCCTCTGGACTCCTGAGCTGTTTTTTCTTCAGCTTGCATTAGCCATGTAGGAAGATTCTGGTAGCTCCACATCTTCACCATTATTTGTTGTGATTCCGCCTTTTTCCTCTTTCCTTCCCCGTTCTTCCCCCTTTCCTCTTCTCCCTTCTTCTTCCCCCACCTCTCACTTTCTTTTCTTGACAAAGTCTTGCAGTGCCACTTAGCCTAGCCTTGACCATCTCTGGAACGTGACTCAAGTGGCTGTCCTGCCTTGATTTCCCTGGTGCTTTGTTTGTAGGCTCATTGTAGAGCCCTATTGTGATCTGACTTTTTGTTTTCTTTTATTCTAGTAACTAGAAAGCATAATCCTGTTGTGATCCTGACTACATTTCACCTATGACTAATGATGTATGGGATTTTACTTTTATTTATTTTTTATTTCATGTGCGGTTGGCTGTTTTGTATTTCCCATGGGGAAATTTATAATCAGATTCTTCATTTTGAAATTATTGTAATAGTTCTTTGAATAGTATAGGAGCAAATGCCTTATCAGATATGTAATTGAAATAATACAAAACAATCAAAGTCCTGTTCAAAGGGTTCTTTTTTTCACTTTCTAATTGGTGACCTTGGAAGTTTTTAATTTTGATAAAAGTCTGTTTTTTTCTTTTATCATTTATTTATTTGATTCTATGCCTTACATATTTGTTCTCCACTTTTAAGTAACAGGAATAATTTTTATTTGTCATATGTGGAAAAAGTGCTAAATAGTTTAAAATGTTATTATTTGTTAATGACTTTTATTAACTTCAAATAAAATCACATTTGGCTAAAAATTTCAATCATAGTATAAAAGAAATGGAAAGTGATATATGTTAATTTAATTAACTATGACAGTGACAAATAAAATCAGTAATACTGACTTTTGAGGCATTCTTTCAGGGTAATTCCCCTCCCTCCAAAAAGCTTACTCCATTAATTTTGTACCACTGACATTTTCCTTTACCATTGGTTGTGTTGCTTTCAGACAACACAAAAATGACAGTGAGATAAGGAAATTGATTGACACCTGGAAGAGGAGTGACTTTTCTTTGGCAAAAGATTTGGTGAGCTGTGATGAGAATATATGGTGTTAATTGAGATCTACTGAGAACAGTCATGGTGAAGCTTTTACTTTAGGGGCAAGGGACAAAGCAGTTACCTTATATCATCATTTAGTGCCTGTTAGAGTCTACACAGGGAAGGAAGGCAAGTGCTCCAGACGTTGGTTTGGTTTGCATCTGTTTTATAGGGAGGGAATCCACTACAATAGAATCTGAAAGAGAAGGCTTCTTTGTTTAAAAAGAAGTCACCTGAAATCTACTGTTTCACAGACTTAAAGGTGAGGAGTTTTGGAGAGTATCCCTTTCCTGACTATGAAGATGTGTAGTATTGTTTTGGGAATTAACAGTGGTGTCCACAGATTTTTTATTTTTTTAAAGATGGGAGTCTTAATGTGTAGTCTTCCTTGGCCTGTCAGTCACTGTGTAACCTTGAATGGCCTTGATCATAAGACAATCATCCTGAGCCAGCCTCAGAATTGTTGGGATTACAGGTATGAACCACCACACTCAGTAAGATTGCCTATTTTGCAAAAAGAACTTTATACATGTGGCCAGGTTTGGTCAAGTATGGAGGAAACTTCATTGATTTTAATTTCATCATGTTTTTCTTCCTTAGGTTCAGACTAAGAAACTAGCACTTTCTTATGTTCAAAGCTTTAATGCCATTTTTATTTATTTCACAGATTATAAGTTGTAGTTAAATTCAACTTTGACAGAAGAAACATCACCAGAACTTTATTAAGAATGGATTCTGATAATAAACATGAAAATGATGAGGATGAGGAAGCAAGAGACATGAAAAGCATTTCATCCCATGATGCCATTTGTGGGCCTGTATCTGATGGGATAGCAAATGCCTCTGAGAATTTTACAAACAAAAGGGGCTTGTCAGAGTCATCCAGCTTGGACAGTGTTGCTGTGGAGGAAGACAGAAGTGAACTTGCTTCCAAACGGATGAGAATAGAGGTGGTGGAGCCCCTTGAGATGGGAGAGCAGGGCACCTGTGGGTTGGACACTGTGGAAGCTAGTGTCCATTCAGCTGAAGCACGGAAGGAGGCCTTTCCGACCATCAGCTCAGATGGAGGCAGAGCCCTTCCCAGTGACTTCTCCCCGTCCTGCGATTTTAGCATGTTTGATACGCTTCCTTTGAAAGCAGATGCAGTGAGAAAGCCTGCTCAGGAAATGAGTTCCCTTGTTCCTGAAAGACACACTCCTTTTCCTCCAGAAGAAATGAGCATTGGTTGTAGCTTTGGAAATGCAGAGTCAGTTCTCAAGTGCAGCATGTGTGGCCATTCATTTTCCTCTTGCTCTGCTTTGGAGAAGCATGTGGAATGTCACGTGGAACAGGACAAGGAATGTGCCTGCTGCCACTGTAGCCACAGAGCAGAGAGCAGCTCATCTCCTCCTCACATGCATGTCAAACATACTCATGGGCCACAGAAAACCTTCTCCTGTGACCTCTGTGGCTTCCAGTGTGCCGAAGAAAACCTGTTGAATGCACATTATCTTGGCAAAACACATCTTCGGCGTCAGAATCTTGCTGCTCGTGGAGGATTTGTACAAATCTTAACAAAACAACCTTTTCCTAAAAAAGCCTGTGTCATGGGAACAAAGAATGTTAGAACAAAACCTAGGGCTTCTAAATCAATTGCAAGGAATGGGGATTCAAAAGGAGTGCAGAATACTGGGAACAAATTTAAAGACTGCAGAGGAGCCCCTTCTGAACGTAATGGTGGGAGGAGTGAGCTGCTTGTCCAAATGGTGCCATCTAGGAATACCTCCTCAGGGAAAGGAGAAATTGTTGAGGAAAATGCTACTTTAGGTGTAGTTCAAAATCCTGAAAACCAGAATAAACAGCTAGGGGGCTTAGTCAGCTCAGAGGGTCTTTTAGGTAAGTCAGAGCCCATCAGAAATACCCTCCAGATAGCTCATATTAGCATCAGTGCCACCTCAAGGCCAAGATCTGAGAGGAATATCCTAATGTTGGGTAACAGCTTTCGCAGACGAAGTGGTACTTTTACTTTAAAGGGCCAGGCAAAGAAAAGGTATAATCTTCTAGGAATTAATAAAAGGAGTGCAAGTGAAACTCAGAGGGTGTATATGAAACACTTTAGAACACAGATGAAAACAAATGACACGCAGCCAGTGACAGAGCAACTTCAAAGGAGCAAGGATGTCCAAAGTCTGTGTGTGACTACCTCAGATGACCCAAAAGTGATGCAGAACAAGACAGCTTCCTGTTTTTCAGACTCCACACAGCTTGGCTCCCTGCCAGTAAAGCCAGCTTCTGACCTCCAGGTCCTGTGCACCTCTCCAGAGTGTGGTCATATAGCTGCAGACAAGACAGACTTGGAAATTCATGTTAAAGGGTGCCATGCAAGAGAGATGCAGTTTCACTGTCAGACTTGCAACTATTCTAGTCCATCAAGGAAAGACTTAGAGAAACACTTGCACAGTAATCAGCATCAGGACATGACTCCTGTCCTCAGCTGTCAGTGTTGTTCCTTCATTTCCTTGAATGAAATGAGTCTTAGAGACCATATGAAGGAAAAGCATAGCATGGGCTTTTTTTGCACCTCTTGTAATCTCTTCTTGTCTGAGAAAGATGTGGAAGAACACAGAGCAACTGAGATGCATAATAGCTTAGTGGTTCAACCAAAGATGGCGTCTGTTTCACCTTTAAGTACTTTAGAATCAGAAAACATGGACGATTCTAGAGAAGAGTCAGGGAAAGCAGCTAAGGCAGATCCCACTGAGTTGAGAGTAAGCCATGGAACTGAAGCAAGGCATTCAAGTAAGCCTCAATTTCAGTGTAAGAAGTGCTTTTATAAAACAAGGTCTTCCACTGTCCTCACAAGACACATAAAGCTTCGGCATGGTCAAGACTACCACTTCCTTTGTAAAGCATGTAATCTGTATTCACTGAGCAAGGAAGGAATGGAGAAGCACATTAAAAGAAGCAAACATCTTGAAAATGCTAAGAAAAATAATATTGGTTTAAGTTTTGAAGAGTGTATTGAAAGGGTATGCATAGGTGCAAATGATAAAAAAGAGGAGTCTAACAGTTCTGGGAGTGGAAGGCCCGAAGGCCATGTTGGTGTGAGATTACAGGAGCCTTTCCATCGTGAGCAGAGTTTGCTAACTCCTAAGGAACTGCCACAGTCTGATGTCATCACCAAAGATGAGGAATTAGCCTTAGCCACTACTCCAAAGAGAGGGAGGCCCAAAGGCAGCATTTCTCGGACTTGTTCACACTGTGGACTTTTGGCCTCTAGTATTACAAATTTGACCGTGCACATCAGGCGTAAACACAGCCACCAGTATAGTTATTTGTGCAAAGTATGTAAGTATTATACTGTCACTAAAGGAGATATGGAACGACATTGTGCCACCAAGAAACATAAAGGACGGGTAGAAATAGAAGCAAATGGGAAACAGAGTTCAGATATAATTGTTGGCCCAGAAGGGGGTAATCTTGAAGCATGTAAAAAGAATGCCCCTCCAGCAGTGACTGTTTCTGACGAGCAGGCTAACAAATCCACAGAGTCGGATACATCTACTTTAGATAAGCCAGTGGTTGATTGTGCAAGTGCAGTAGAAGTTGAAGCTGCAAGTGCATTTCATTCTGTAGAGGGAGAAGTTAGCAGTCAACTCTCTGATAAAAGGGGGCAGATGTCTCTAGAGACAGAGGACCTTCTGCAGCAGAGTGATGCATGCTCTCAGAGAGATGTTGCAGGTTCAGGTGACAATAAATGTGTCCACTGTGAGTTCAGTGCCCACTCTGCTGCTTCACTAGAACTGCACGTGAAAAGGAAGCACACCAAAGAGTTTGAGTTTTATTGTATGGCTTGTGATTACTACGCAGTGACGCGCAGAGAAATGACGAGACATGCTGCAACGGAGAAGCATAAAATGAAAAGGCAGTCTTACCTCAACTCTTCCAGTGCGGATGCAGGTTCTTCAGAAATGTCCAAAAGCATCCTTCTGAGTCAAGAGGAGCATTCCCAAAACCCCGAGGAATTGAAAATAACACCAGATCAGTCATGTGGTACTCTCAAATCTGGAAATGCTGCAGGCTGTTCTGTTCTAGATGAGAATACTAATTTAGATATGTCTAAAGTACTCTGTGCTACTGACTCAGTGGAGATTGTGCCTGAGGAAGATCATTCCTTTTGTGAGACCTTGCAACAGCCCCTTGTTAAGGACAAAAGTATAAAACCCCGAGAGATAGTGTCCCTTAGTACTCCCTCTAATCATGGCTTCCCAGACTGTCTTCAAAATGAAAATCCAGGAAGCTCTGCTGTGGACTGTGAGACAGCAAAGAGAAAGCACGGCATGTTGAATGATGCTGGTGACTTAAGCACACACTGTGAAGATGAGGGAGGCAGCGCTGATGATAGTGCAAGGAAAGTTCCGGACAAGACCCTCTGTTCTGGAGACTTAGATGGGGGCCACTCAGCTGCAGCTACTTCCCCTGTTGTGCTGAAAATACCAAGAGATCATCTGCACCTGGATGGTGGCGACCAAAACAAAGTTGGATGTGAACAGAGTTCAGAAGATTTCAAACATGTGCATGCATCTGTTGTCGAGAAGAAGGAAGTTCTGATGAATTCGAAACATAGAACTGAAAGTGTTTTGGAAGAAGATGGCCCAGCTTCTGATGACACAGTTGACAGTAATGATGTTTATGAAACTATAATAAGTATTGATGATAAAGGGCAAACCATGTACAGTTTTGGCCGGTTTGATTCTTCCATAATTAGAATAAAAACTTGTGAGGATGGTGAGTTAGTAGATCAGTCAGAAGAAGGGCTAATGGCTACAGGGGCGAGAGTTAGTGAATTGCCCCTAAAGGAAAGTGCTCAAGGCTTGAAGAGGAGGAAAGTTGAAGGCAATTCCTTTGGCGAGTCCACACGAATCCGATGTGATGATTGTGGTTTCTTAGCAGATGGACTGAGTGGGCTGAATGTTCATATAGCCATGAAGCATCCTACAAAAGAGAAACACTTTCATTGTTTACTTTGTGGAAAATCATTCTATACTGAGAGCAACCTTCACCAGCATTTGGCTAGTGCTGGTCATATGAGAAATGAACAAGCCAGTGTAGAAGAGCTTCCAGAGGGAGGAGCCACTTTCAAATGTGTCAAGTGTACAGAGCCCTTTGATTCTGAACAGAATTTATTTCTGCATATTAAAGGGCAACATGAGGAATTGCTGCGAGAGGTAAATAAGTACATAGTGGAAGACACCGAGCAAATCAATCGAGAGAGGGAAGAAAACCAAGGGAATATCTGCAAGTACTGTGGGAAGATGTGTCGGAGTAGCAATTCCATGGCCTTCCTGGCTCACATTCGGACTCATACAGGTATGTAACCCTTGTAGCAAGCCTATATTTTCCTATAAAGTGCAAAAGATTGATGAAGTTTGGACTTTGGGTCACAACCAAGTATGAAACCCCATTTGAATTTGCTTGTGGGCCTTCTGCCTAATTCGTATTTCATGTTTATGTGGTGCTCTGCTTGTATCTAAGAAGTGTTGACATTTAACATTTCCAGAGGCAGTTTAGCCTTAGAGATTCTAAAGGCAGAGGAGTGAACAGATTTCTTTTACTTTTGTCAAAAGCACCATCAGATGCTTTTATAAAACTCCTATTTTTTTTTTCTGTTTTTCATTTGTTTTTTTCCTAAGTTACAGGGAATGACACTTTGTGGTTTTGGAGAGCATATTAAATAGCTTTTAGCCTTTAGTAAAATTCTTAGTTTTGAAACGGCGCCTCACTGTGTAGCCCTGGCCGCCCTGAAACTTACTATGTAGCCTTGGTTGATTCTCACCTCACACAGATCCACCTGCTTCTTCTTCCCAAGTGTTGGTATTAAAGGCGTGTGCACCACACCCTCACATTTATCTTCTATTATTCTCTCACATATTACATCCGGACTGCACTTCCCCTCCCTCCTTCCCTCCCATTTCCTCTCCCCAGCCTCCTCTCTCCCCAGATCCACTCCTCCTATGCCTCAGAAAAGGGCAGGCTTCCCAGGTCAAACATGGCATATTAAGTTGCAATAAGACTAGGTGTATTACCCTTAATACCCTTAGTATTAAGGCTGCATAAGACAAATCAGTCAAAGAAGTCCCAAAAGCAAGCCAAAGAGTCAGAGACAGATACCCCCCTCCAACTGTTAGGAGTCCCACAAAAAGACTAAGCTACACAACCATAACATATACAGAGGACGTAGGTCCGTCCCATGCAAGCTCCCTGATTGTCAGTTAAGTCTCTTTGAGCCTCTGTGAGCCCAGGTTAGTTAATTTTGTGGGCCATTTTCTTACGGTGTCCTTGACCCCCCTGACTTCTACAATACTTCCTCCCCCTCTTCTGTAAAGGTGTGTGCCACTACATCCTCAAAAATTTAACCTTTATTTTTTTAATGTGTTTTTGCCCGTGTGTGTGTCTGTGCAATGTATGCCTGCAGTGCCCATGGAAGCCAGAAGAGGGCATTGGACCCCCTGGGAATCTAACCTGGGTCTTGTGGAAGGGAAGCCAGTGATCTTAACTGCTGAGCCATCGCTCCCTCCCTTAAGATATTAGAAATTTAAAAATATTCATCAACCTATAGTTTGTATCTACAAGTGTGACTCCCAGCAGTAAGAGTCTACTTTCAAGGACCAAAATTGTGAACATAGTTTCCTAAACATGTATTAGAGTTTGGTTTTCATTGAGGTATAGTATCTGATTTAGGGTCTGTATTCCATGTTAATGTTTAGTTTGGGGAGAGATTCTTAAAAATATATATATTTGGTGAAAAATGCATAATCCACTGTTGTAAATTTATGTAGAAATTGACTGCAGTATTTCTATAAACCTGCCATACATTCTTTATTTTCAATAGACAGCTTTTCTAAATCATTGTGCTCAGCTTAGACAAGTTCTGTCTACATGGTTGAATTTATGAGTGGATTTGAATAATAAATTCACATTTCAATGAGCATATTTTCATTAAAACTGTAAGGTTTGTTTTACTGTACTTTTAAATAATGGCATATTATTAAATCTATACTTTAAATTCCTGCAGTTTTTGAAACTTAGTGCATGGTTACATGGAGAAAGATACAGAGCATTATCAGTAGTTGAGGTTGATTAAAGGTAGATGAAACCTTTCCCTTAAAGAAAGTAACAGATCAGTTCATAGTTCAGGAATTATAAACACCACAGTCCCTGTGTGGATCTGGTCTCCAGTAGCAACATGCAGTAGAGCCATTTCTGTAGGACGTTCAAGTGCTTATTTGTTTGCATTCTTGGTACTTCTGTTGTTGCTTCTCACACTCTGAAATGACATGATATTATATACCAGTCTATTCTTCAGCATGGAAAATATGTGTTTTCTTAACATGCCCTCTTCCTAAGTCAGATAAAGCTGAATAAAACTAAGAGGAAGATGCTAATGGAGCTCTCTTTAGAATTCTTTATGCAACTGTCTGGTCAAGACATGTTGCTTATAATTGATGTGTCCATTACTTGAATTCTCTTGTAATTATAGTCAATAAGTCTTGTAAATGTGTTAAAGCTCACTAAAAGCATACAAATTCAAGAACAGAGTAAGGCTAATAATTTAAAATAATCAATGTAGGCATTTCAGCACTTAATTTCCCTTGTGTGTTGATAGCTGATCATTCTTAATCCATTAAGATTTATTTAGTCGTTTACAATGCAAAATAGGTTTGCACTGGTCACTTGTGCCATTTGAAAATGTCTACCAGGTTAAGTGCAGAATGTAGTCCATTAGTCTTCCTTGACTATATATATTAATTGCATTTAAAATCAAGTTAATGTGGACGTGAAAGTGAGGTAGCTATCAATATGTGACAGAGTAGCCCTACTTATATAAGTTACATCATTGATTGGAACATTTAGGAAAAGTTAGCATTTTTTTTTTTTTTTTTTGGCTCTTCTGTTGGTCTTATCATCAAGTGCATTTTTAAGGTGTTCTGAAGCACTGTAGAACACTCCCTTCCTGAGCACGGAGGACCAGCCCACCATGTCAGTTTTGCAAGTCACTGTTTTGGGGGAAGTTGCTCTTTAGGTTTTAGTTTCTTTAAACTCACAGAGATCCCCCTGCCTCTGCCTCCCGAGTGCTGGGATCAAAAGCGTGCGCCACCACCACCCAGCTGCAGGTTTTAGTTTCATGTTTTTTTTTTTTTTTTTTTTCTTTTCTTTCTTGGAATATCTTAAAATGGATGACTTTCTGGTAATCTGCTTTTATTTATGAAGGAGTAATGCAGGGCCCATTATTACTGCCTGGCTGGAAAAGGGCTTGCTCTTCAACCCATTTCCATATTTGGAATTTGCTATATGTGTTGTGTAACCTGTTGTAATTATTCTTAGCATGGTAAAAGCCGCATTCTGAGGAAATGAGTCTTGGCTATCAGGAATTGTAGAAAGAAATCATCTCAGTTCCTGGGCATTGGTGGTGTGAAACACTCCGCCTGATTACCAGGCCTCTTCCCACTAGCATTAGAAGAGCTCATGGAGCAGGGGGTTATCTCTTGTGCAGTAGTCTCTTAATGCTTTTATGTCACAGGACATGAAAGATATCCTTAAACCTCAAGACATTGGGAAGCCATTCTGCTTGTGTTCACAGTACTCTGGTCACTACACCCTTGAGAATGTTCTTATGTGTATATATATTTGGTGTGTGTGACTTCACTGAAAACTCCAAATTAGTGCAGGGTGTCTCTAAGTCCTTGCGCGATACTTTAGAGATGACACAGACCACCAAGACTTAATTTGTAGACTGAGCACAGTTGGAAGGAACTGACTTCATTCACTACTTACTCTGTACATACTCTACTTATAGCTGGCATTCAGTGCAATTTGTTTATGGGTAGATGAATGAGCAAATGAATGAAAGAATGCATGAATGAATGAATGAAGTGTTCAAATGCTCAGGAAACACTTGGGGTTTACACTATAGTGAGCAAGCATTGCAGGATATCCATGCATCTGCATTACCTCGCCCCTCTGCTAAGATCTGAAGGATCCTGTCCTTCCTTCTGAATGTTAGTGCCACATCTGTGTATGCAGAGAAGCAAGAATGCAGCAGAGGCATGCATGACCTTTAGGTCTGAGTGCAGACTGAATTTTCAGGTCTTTGGGATTTGTTTAGTAAATAATCAGGCACCAGAAACTTAGGGCCACTTTAGTTTTATTTTTTTTTCCCTTTATAAAATCTTAAAGACAAAAAGAAAAAGAAAATTAAAAAAAAATACCTTTTGAGGATAATGCTGCTCCAAGGAATCCATTCAAGATAGTTCGCGACGTTTTTAATACTAAAATACATCTAAGAGAAAGGGAAATTTAGAAATATGTGATTTTACAGGTTTTATGTTATAAACATGTGCCTGGATCCATTTCATAATGTGTATCGTATAGCAACTGTAAAAAAAGAAATATTATCTCTAAGGAACTGAGGTAAAAGGACTGGCTTCCTTTTCTTAAAGAGAGGATTTCCTCAGCTGCTTCTGGAATGCTAATGACATGGGAAGGAGAAGCTAACACAGCCTGCCCTGACAGTTAGCTGGGAGTAAAGGCCTCCCTGACTTTCTAAGCAGAGCAGTTAACAGAATCCCTGATTTGTGTGGAGTCCGTACACGGCATCAGTGAGCCCCGAGGCTTGGGAAGGACTTCCTCACAGACAGCAGACTAAAACCACAGCAGCTTCTGACCATCCGCTGTGGTGTTAGCACCACCTGCATGGAGCTCGTTAGAACTCAGGCCGTCTGAGTGAAGCCACAAGGCCACGGGGCGTCTACATCTGATTCTCCCAGTCATTGTTCAGTTAAATGTTGAGGAGTTTTATCCTTTTTTTTTTTATTAGAGGTCCTGAATTTACTGCTTATTAATAATTTACAAATTGTCCTTGAAAAAGCACTTGAACTTAAAGTACAGGCAGATTGACTCTTAACCTTTCAGAAGGTCTGTTACAGGATTCTGGCTCCACTAAAATGTTTCATAGTCATGATAGCTTAATTTTATCAGGACCATTTAAATCAACTGTTGTTTCCAAAATGATTGATTAATGTGATTGCTGTAAGCTGAAACCTCAACCTGCCTTTGGTATTTAAACATATAAACCTTAACTAGATAGAACCAGTCAGGTGTTAGAAATACTTTACACCTACTTCTAACCATAGAAATTTGAAGTATTAAGAGCTCGGCTTCGTGGTCATTGGACAGTGAAATACTCAGCCTTGTCTGCTATGTAGTACTGTTGGCTTTGTTTTCCCCCTTCTTTCTTTTTAAGATTTCTGTTGGAAGGTTGAAATTAAATGCTTCACTTTTTTTTGTCACCTTTTGAGAATTAAATTAAAATTTTAGAGTCTAATTTTTTTCTTGAGTGCTTCAGTTTCAAGCATTTTGTTTCCCTCTTGGAGGACTTTTATTTTTCCAATGTTCATTGATTGAAGATAAATTTTTTATTTATGCTCTATAATTTTTGAAATTTACAGATTTTATTTTCTAACCATTTTGGAGGAGTTACTTCACAAAATAGATACTAATCATGACATGAAAAGTCTGGAAACACTATGCTTTAAGCTGTGGTCTTTATTATTTCAATTTATTTCAAGAGGTACTAGTTAGAAAACAGGAAGACAGTTTGTTCATATCTTCATCCTGAGGAGATGGTTACTTCCTGTCACTGAAGGGTTGAGTAATGAATGAATAGTGTCTTACCCATCACAGTGATGCTGTTCACTGAAGGGGGGGGGGTGAGTTTCTTGCTTTGGAGTTAAAGCCTTTTTCTTGTTGTTACTGAGCCTCTTGTGTTGAAATACTTGTTAGTGAACTCAGTAACCAAGATGTTGACACTTGTGGTTTGCTGATTCATCACAGAACTGGAATGATGACAGGAACACAGCAGTTATGTGCTGTGCAGTCCTATGTTTGTGGAGATGGTAGTAAAACAGTCATATAAAGAGTCTTTGAGGTCAGTGGCAGACCAACTGTGCTACCGCGGTTTGTGCAAATAAATTCAAAGCTGGAGAAATCTGAGGAAATTGGACGGGCACTGAGAAATACCCTCAACAGGACACTTTGTAGATACCAGTGGCCTTGTTCATATTTGTGTTTTTAATTATTCCATTTTAAAATAGAATACCTTCAAGAAGTATTTTTGTCAGTTGTATGAAAAATGTGTAATGTTACTCAGCTCATTGAAGCTGCTTAGTGGCATGCAGCATTTGACTTTAAATCTTAGAAACGTTATTGAGAATTGGCAATATTCACTAAAACATTAAAACCTAGGTGAGATAATTATGGGATCAAGAAAGTTATACATGAATTCATGCATTATGTTTTGGGGATGAAATTCTTAATCAGATTGAAGGCTTAATTTAAGATTTAGTTTACCCTCCCCATTTAAAAGCCTGTTAGTTATGTGTTATTCAAGTCCAAATCTTATTTTATGTTACATTTACTCAGGATCAAAACCGTTCAAGTGCAAGATATGCCATTTTGCCACAGCTCAGCTCGGAGATGCCAGAAACCACGTGAAAAGGCACCTTGGGATGAGGGAGTACAAGTGTCACGTCTGTGGGTGAGTAGATGGAAGCCACCTCTGCTGGGTGAGCCAGGAGCTGTGTGCGGGGCATCTATTGTTTGAGAATTCCAAACTGATATGAGTAAGAGTGGCGAAATGATGCGTGCGTTCCCTCCTTTCCTTTGTGATGGTAAATTCCTTAAGTACAGTTATGACACTCTTCTCCCACTTCTAATCCTGCTCTGGAGATGAGCAATTTTATGGGCTACAAGGTCAATTTGAACCTGTAATCTGTAAATTGACTAAATTATAGGATGTTCATTCACATTGCCAGAGAGAACTATAAATTCCATTTAAAGACAACCCCCCCTCCCCCGCCCGCCCCAGATAATATAGCTTTAGGAGTGCATATGTATGTTTTTTTTTCTTCTGCTATACTGCCTTAATTTTAATCACATTAATGGCTCTTTGGATCAATTGGACATATTCTATAAGGAAAAACAAAAGATTTAATTTCAGATGCCTGGTTAACAGATCACTTGAGAGATGATGTGGTAAAAACAGTGTGTAATGTACTTTTGTGTTGTGTGGTTAAAACTAGTTTCCTTTTTCAATTCATGGTTCTTTGTAGAGTCATTCATAATGTTTAATTGTCACTCAGGTATGTTACATTTCATAGAAAGCACTGAGGGACCTTAATGTAAAACTAATTAATTTAGCAAGAATGTTTAAAAGGTTTTAAAGTGCTGTGACATATATGTTGTATCATAGGACATTCAGAGGTGGATTTTAAGACTCTACTTATTAAAATATATTTTAATGTTATTATGCTAGAGAAATTAACTAATAAGTACATCATATAAAGTACTTTATGCGAAACTAAAGAAATCTGCAATTCATAGGTTCAGTTAAAGTATGCAGCATGCATATATTATGCTTATAGAGAAGGCTCCCCAGGTTGACATGAGCGTGTAAACATGTAAACATCCTTTAGGTCAGGGGCAGTTCTGTTTTTTATTGGACAATACATTTTCCCAGGATACGATTTCATTTTTTTGACCCTTAAGATAGTTTTACAAATAACTTTGCAAGCAATTTTATCAACCGTGGTGTGTGATTTATTCCCTGGCCAAATTGATGGTTCAGTGACTTGCTGCTAAAGTAAATGAAGATGAACCTTTGCCCTGAAGCCACTCATGATCAGTTGGAGAATGAGTTTTGTTACTGCTGAGTTTCGATGCCGGGGTCAAGTCCCAAGTGGTTCATTTTAATTCCTATAGGTCTTATGATTTTAAAAGACATCTCATTTCGTGTTTTTATTCTCTGAGTTATAGGAGATGATCCTGACTCCAGTGAAAATGTGTTATTTGGAAGCATAAGCAGTTTCTTTCCTGTTTGTGAAAAATAAGTAGGTTTCTTGCATATTTAGTTAGTTGAAATCTAATTTTTATCCAGTTTTAAAATTTAGAGTACTAAGATATTGGAAGAGAAAAATAACATTTTCAAAAAATCCTGTTTTACATAGTATCAGAAACAATTTGTAATTCATTGTCTCTGAATGTATAATTTGAACACTATAGCTTTCTTTAGCTGATTGCTTACTGAAGATACAGGAAACATTGCATTTAGTGCATTATGTTTGATCACCAAGATATAGAATATAAGTAAATATGAATGTTTTAAATCTTAGGTTTGCCATAGACAGCCACATTGGAGTGTGCGTGCGAGAGAGAGAGAGAGAGAGAGAGAGAGAGAGAGAGAGAGATGTGGATAAAGCATTCTAGGTTTTAGTACTTGACTTTGAAAATTAGGGTAGCCTTTAAACTTCATCCCCTGTGGAATTATAGTTCTCTTTCTTTCTAAAAATAAGTTCAGTTTAAAAGTCACACACTAATTTTAGCAGGGTAGATAGCCTTATAGTGAAGCCAGAATCTCTGAAGAACATCAGTGAGTCTAGGAGGATTGATTAGTGAGGTTGAGTAGAACAGTAATGAACTAGGAATTCAATGTTCAGGAAGGTGTATCTTTGGTTCTGTGTTTCCTGTGTTAGGTATGAGGTATCTTTGGTTCTGTGTTTTCTGTCTTAGGTATGGGTATATCTTTGTTTCATGTGTTAGGTATAGGAGAATAACATAAAAGTTTAAATGGAAAGCAAAGCAAAAAAGCGTGGACTGGTTCTACTGACACTGGAGAATATTGGTACATTAACATTGCTGACAGTGTCAATTCATTATCACTGATGGCTAAATAATCTCACAAATGCTCAGTGGACCCATTAGTTCCTGAACATAAGCAGGCTATGCTGCATTTCTTCATTAGCTTTAATTGCTATAAATTTTACCTTTTACAAAATCATGCTTTAAAAGGTAAAGTGATCTTTCAGGAACATTAATTCTATAATATTGTCACAAACAGAAGGTCCTGTACTGTTTTCTTTTCTCCAGTAGTTAATATCCTAGTTTCAGTCTTTGGAAATTTATTAACGACCTCTTCTTTATCTGGCTATAAGTAGTTATTTATCAAATAGTCCTGTTGAATAATGTGTAAAACATTGAGGTAGGCACATTTTTGAAATAATAAAACTGAACTTGTTTTTTCAGTAGCCTTTAGTTTTCTTATGGTGAAATTTGTGGAAATGGTATGTTCAATCAAGTAAGTTCAATGTTATTGTAGCAGGCTGCTTGTTCTTGTTTTTATGTAAGAAGACTGTAGAACCATGAGAACTATGTGTCTTAGAGTGTCCACTAAGATGCAGTTTTAGAATTCTGACATGTCAACTTTCATGTAACAAGTGCCTTTAAAATTGTTGCGTCTTTATTTATTTATTTATTTATTTATTTATTTATTTTGGTTTTTCGAGAGACGGTTTCTCTGTGGCTTTGGAGGCTGTCCTGGAACTAGCTCTTGTAGACCAGGCTGGTCTTGAAATCATAGAGATCCACCTTCCTCTGCCTCCCAAGAGCTGGAATTAAAGGCGTGCGCCACCAACGCCCGGCTTAATTTTTTTTTTTTTTTAAATCTTCAAGATCAGTGATTTGAAGGTATTTTTTTCCTTATCCCCTATTGGAAGATGTTTGCCACAGTGTGGCAGGGTTTAAATTATCTTAACAGAAGAAACAGAATGAGTTGAAAGTCTAGTTCCCATTGTCTGGCTCTGACTTAGGGTTGATGTTCTGCATAGGAAAGATTGATCTACTCATGTTATGAACATATTGCTGTAGAGTTCATGTTTTAAAGCAGATAGAGAGTAAATCTGTTTGTTTACTCTTAGTTCTAGGAGAACAGAGTTTTGTTTGTTGACTTGTATAGCTGCTGTATTTAAAAAATATGTATTTTATGCATATGAGTGTTTTGCCTGCATGTGTGTCTGTATAACACATGCATTCTTGGTCCCTGGTGCCCATGAGTTTAGAAGAGGGCTTAATTAAGATCTGGAACTGGAGTTATGGATGATTGTAGGTGATGGGAATCAAATCCAGGTCCTCTGCAAGAGCAGCCAGTGCTCTTTATTTAACCCCAGAACCATATCTCTTGCTCTAGTAGATCTTCTTTATAGTGTTTTCCCTATACATACATCTAAGTGTGACTAGAAGAGTTCTAGAGTCTCTGCTCTTGATACATAGTTAACATGGCAGTCAGGTGCGGTGTGACAGTGCTGAGAGTGGCAAAAGCAAACACCGGAGCTGCCCTGCTCCAAGGTTGGTAGTTTTACTTAGCTACTTCTTGGGTAAAAAAATAGGTCAGGCATATCTTTGTGTTAAATTCATGAGCCTCTTTTTTATTTTTTTTTTAGTTGTTAAGAATGTGAAAAATCTCAACCCCTAAAAGTCATTTTATACATTTTGTTAATTTTTTAATAATTCTAGATGTGGTGTTTGAGGATATAGCTTAGTGGTAGAACTTTGTCTAACACGTACAAGGCCCAGGATCAGTTCTCAGCACCCCACATTACACATAAAATTAACAAGCCAATATGGATTGTGTTCTGAATGTTAGTATTGGTGTAGTGCTTTGTGGTAAATGCTGCATTTTACATTGGTCATGTTTGCTGATTTTGATGACTTTTATTATTTAGTTTATGTTTGCTATCCCCATTTAAAATGGGAGATCGAAGTTCTAAGTGACACAGTGACACACTTAAATTCTGCAGCCAGCCTTCCTGGCTCATGGTTGCTCATCCTCCTTATTATTCCTTTCTGTTCATTATTTTCCTGCTCTTTGTTGTATGTGTCTTTTTTTCCATTGCTTTGATTTTTACTCATTTTTTTTAATCTAGGTTGTTTTTTGTAGCATGTAATAACATAACATCTACTTCCTCCCACTAGCTACATTTATTTTCCATTTTTGTTAAAATTTACATTGTGATAAAAGATTGCTTATCCAGTCTTACTTTCATATTCTGGTATTCAAACCCTTCCTCGATTCTTTGTTTTATTCTTACTGTAAATGATGTTACTGTTTCCTCCTGCTGTCCTTCATCTGTTGATAATTTATTGTACTTCCATGTGGTTTCCCATGACTGTATAATAGGGAAAAGAAAGTGCTTAGAAGTGGTGATGGGCTAAAACTGATCAAGTTAGGTTCTTGTTATTTCAATACCAATTATCTTAAAGATTTGCAGAAAACTTACAGTACTCCTGTGGTCTCCGTAAACCCAGGAAATGATACCTTTTGTATGTCATTTTTCAGGAGCATAAATCCAGTATATGTAAATTAGTAACTATGTTATTTATTGGTAGATTCCCTTGTGTCAAGTCTTGATTGATGTATATGGAGATAGTTAAATAGTTGAATGTGATTTAGCTAATCAGGAGAAAATAAAAGCATTTTCCAAATATTTAACCTCTGAGTTTTGAGAAGATTTCAGAAAAATTTAAATTGTACATTAGTGTGCTTAGGAAATGTTTATTTCTAGTTGATTTAGGAAACCTTAAATAGAAAGTTACCAATGCAGTTAAACTGGTGTGTGTGTGTGTGTGTGTGTGTGTGTGTGATTACCTAGTTTTTGTGCATTAGAGGGATCTCTATGTAGATGATTATAATGTCACTTTCTGACC